TCTATTTTAGGCTTCACCACCGACACCCATTGATGATGATTTACCTAACATTTCTGAGAACCAATCTGTAATTAGTCCAAAACCTGATGAAACAAGTAAAAATAACTCGATAGAGTTTTTCTTATAAAAATTCTTTATCTTTTTTTTTTTGTTTTTAGATACAATTATAAAAAGTAATTTAAGTGAACCGGGTGTTAAAAAAGTAATCAAAAAAAAAGTCATATGGGCTGATGAAAAAAATCAAACACTTGTACAAACATCATTTTTTGAAGTTGATGATTCTGAACTATCCGATATGCATATATTTGCACGTACATGTGCAGCTAATATATCTATAGCACAACTTGAAAAAGTAATGGAACGTGATTTTCGTAAACGTCGTGGTATACAAGATATAAATTCAATTGATAATGATGACAAACAAATATTAGTACCATTACCAACATTAATAAAAATTTTATTACCAGATACAATACAAATTCCACAAATTGTTTCACAAGAACGTTTTGTACAAGAAGAACGTGAAAAAACTGTTTTACAAGCACTTTTTATACGTTCATTTTTACCTGATAGTCCAGGTGAACCTGATGGAGATATTATTGGACATAGTCATATTGAAAGAAGTGAACCAAAATTAATTCCACTTGAAGATGTAAGATTAAATAAATATCAAATAAGAAAGAAATCTATCACAATTATTAAATATTATCATATTAATTTTGTTTTTTTTTATTTTTAAAAATAAATTCTTTATAAAAACAAAAAAAATTAATTTATATATATATGTCTATGTATGTATGTAGGATACTTCATCATCTTTATCGAGTACAGTAACATCAGTAAACAGCAATAATACAACAACGACCAATATACCTTTAGTTTCATTAAATAATCCAACAACAGCAGCAATAACAACCACAACCACCACCACCACAACAACAACAACAACAACAACCATACCAAACAATACAATTACACCGAGTCTTTCATCATTTTCATTTGGAGATGTATCACCTGAAGTTGCTCAAATACTTGCACAAGCGAAAGGAAATTTAACATCAGCTACTGCAAATAATCAATCAACAACAATACCATCAAATTCATTATTGAATTTAGCTACAACTATAACAACAGCTACATCAACAATAACAAATCCAACGGTTACAACAACACCTAATCTACCACCACCACCGAATTTATTATCAGCTTTACTTAATGTTACACGAACTAGTAACAATGATACAACTAATGGTAAGAATATAAATATAATTGATGAAAATAATTATATCAAGAAACACTAAGCAAAAGTTTCAGTGAGAAAGTATTGATAGCATGAAGTTTATAAATTATATAGCATCTTTAATCTTAACAATAGCAATAGTGAAAATTTCTGAAAATAAATTCAAAATTTTGTGTATCTAACTGATAATTTAACGATTCCGGATGATGTAGTACCAATAAACAAATGATAAATTTATTAATTTTAATAAACTAAATCATTTTTCTAGTACCGGCACCGAATCCAATTGCTAATCTTTTGCCCAATCTTTCATTGAATTTTAATTTACCACCACCTCCAACATCCTTTCAATTGGGTCAAATAATAGCAAATGCTCTTTCACTTGGTATACCACCACCACCAACTGCCAGTAAGTGAAAAATATAACTATGAAATCAAAACAAATACTAATATTTTTGTGTTATTGTTTAGATCCTTCTATATTTCAAACATCACCGGCTACGTTTACAACACCACCACCAAATTTATCTAATCCAATAGTTAATTCAGTTCATTCATCATCATCATCATCAGTGAATTCTAAACCACCATCTGTTCGTTTTGTTTCTGCTATTGGTCAACAAACAAGACCGAATTTAACAAATAATAATAATACTAATAATGAACATCAAATTTCATCTTCTCGCGAGAACAGTAGAGAACATAATTTTCGACGAGGTCCACCAAATAATAATCGTCGAGATTATTATCAAAATCGAAATAATAATAATAATAATAATAATAATAATAATAATAATAATAATAAT